ACCAGCAACGCAGCCTTGCACCCATCAGTTACAAGTCTCAGCCAGCAGCCACAGCAGCAACAACAACAACAACAACAAGAGCAACACCAACAACGACGTCAGCGTCCACGACAAAAACACCACCACCACCACCACCACCAGCAGCAGCAGCAGCAGCAGCAGCAGCAGCAACGGCTACTACTACTACTACTACTACTACTACTACTGCTACTACTACTACTACTACTACTACTACTACTACTTATTACTACTACTACTGCGACGACGACTACTACTACAACTACTACCACCACTACTACTACTGCTACTACTACTACTACTACTACTACTACTACTACTGCTACTACTACCCCCTCCAACCACCTGACGCCCCAACCCATCATCACCATCATCATTGGTATTTGGACTACAACATCACGAAGGTACTGTAAATACCGAGTACAATGGATGTGCTCTTCAAAAAGTACGTCATCATCATCATCATCCCCCCTCCACCACCTGCACCCCCGCACCACACCCCCACCCCTCAACAGCGGTGGTTGTTGGACTACGACTTCACGAAAGTGCGGTAAATCCCGCGTACATGGATGTGCTCTCAATCAGGTTTCAGGAGAGGTTGTTGGTAACGTGGGTGTGCCGATTACTACTACTACTACTACTACTACTACTACTACTACTCCTACTCCTACTCCGACTATTACTACTACTACTACTACTACTACTACTACTACTGCTACTACTACTACTACTACCACTACACTACCACTCTACTATCCAGGGCCCTGGCAGGCACCGGCACAGCAAAGTGCTGGCCTAGGAAGGCCACGGCCAGATCTGTGCTGGGAGGTGCACCTGCGGTTTAGGTTTAGGGTTTAGGGTTTAGGGTTTAGGGCTCATAGGGCTTTTTGTGCATTGCAGGGTTCATAAAGTGCTATAGGTTTCAGAGTGGTGCACCTGCAAGAGCAGGTTTCGACTCGTACACTCACAGCGGGTGTAGGGTTTGCGAGTGTAGGGCTTGGGGATGAGAGTTTGAGGTTTTCTGAAGTTTTTGGAGAGTACTAAGGATCAGGGGAAATTGGGGACAAATGTATCGTGGGCAAGCCCTAAACCTAGGTTATACGGCGGCCTCAATAATCTGAACGGCGTTTTGGGCATCTTAAGACATCCGCAGGAATAGTCCCCGCATTAAATGGTCCCGGTCTCTTCTGTAACTCCAAGTACCCAGACCCCTAGATCCCCTAAGGGGGTTCCTATAAAGTACCCTTTAGTAGTTAGGGTCCCTAATTAGGGGATCTATTTTTTAGATCCTTTTGGGGGTCTGGGTACATGGCAGAGTGGTGGAGTTCTCGGAGCTCAACACATCCACAGCCCGAGGCCTGCAGATGGTTCATTGTTTAAGCTTTCTTCCATCCTACTTACTTAAGCTTTAATAGGGGTTCATTGTTTAAGCTTTCTTCCATCCTACTTGCTTAAGCTTCAATAGGTTGGCTTTGAAGTTTAGGTTTGAGGGTTTTGGGGGTTTTGGGGCTTGGAGGCTGATAGGGCCAACCCTAAACCCTAAACCCATTATAGGGACTAGCTAGTTGACTCGGTGTTTGTTTGATGGCTCCATGCGGATGCGCGAGACCTCCAGTTTCTGAAATGACCCTACAAGAAAGGGTTTAGGGGTTTATATAGGGTTTAGGGGTTTGGGGTTTGGGGGGTTTAGGGTTTAAGGGTTTAGGGTTTAGGGGTTTAGGGTTTAGGGGTTTAGGGTTTAGGGTCAGAAATCAGAAACGATCAGAAAGTGGGTGACGAAGAATGAAGGGGAGATGTGAGAACAAAAACACGATAGCAAAGGAATGGATCCGGCAGAACTGATTCATCTGAGTACCCTATACAAAACCGTAAAACCTAAACGGGAATCGAAACATATGGGCATGCTTGTGCAACTGTCTGTATATGTATATGTATGCATAAATGCATATGTACTTTTGCATGCATACATAGATCCTATATCAATGATGAATGCACGCGTAAAAGTACGGAAGTACATAAAATGCATACTCTTCTATACATTTGTTTATGTTTCTGCACAAGAATGCATAAACCAAATATGGTACCAGTGAGTTGTGCCATACATGTGAGTTGTGTCAGCTTAACATACCATAGAACAGTATACGGTTGTGCAGCATGATTAAGCATAGTCCAAACTCAAGTTATTTTAACATACTATATGACATTATGACCTAGTATGCTACACCATAGTATACGATGCTGCAGTATAGTATACTTTGTGATATCTAACAAATATGTGCAAGCATACTAATATACTGAAAAAGTAATACAGCATAGTCGGTTATCACGTACTGTACAATAAAATACTGTACTTTAAATATGCTCCACGTTAATGAGATATGGTAAATTACCGCAGAACAGAATATGACATAGATTCTCCCAGGCTCTCCGCTTTGGCAATAAAAATGAATGTGAGAGCGAAAAGTATAGTGTAATGTACTGCAAGATGCGAAAAGCAAGACCGAACAAGATGAACAAAAACAAATTGATGTCACATAACACACGATATGACTTGACACAACCATTCAACACAATATCAGTATACATAATATATATATATATATATGTACATATACACACATACATGTCTGTGTGTACGTTGTGGCAACATGAAACATCTTTTAACCAAGCATAGCAACCAAACATGGCATAATACACTGTAGCATAATAAGAACGACGGTTCTACTACACAACACTAGCCGATACAGTGCAAGGCAGTTGTATGATGGACCAAAAAAGACGACAAGCATAAAATAATATAAGATGGCACCATACAAGAAAACGGATGCAACACAAATATACAATGCGAGACATTGCTACCTGATAAAGTCTAATTTGCGAAAGTGTGGTCAAAGTCGTGCAATGAGCAAGAACGCCGTATACTATGCACAGAATCGCATGGTGCAACATAACGGAACACAACAGAACATGAACCATGTGCCATCACAAACTATTCTGTTGCCGATAAGAACTCAGTTATAAACATGTAATCAAGTAAACCTTATACATATATATATATATATATATATATACAAATCCATATAAGTGCGAGCTGTGGCATAAATTGCTTCGTCGGATAGGGGCGCCAGATCTGAGTGGTGCCCAATATCTTTCGCTCATTTTTTTACTTGTGATGAGAACTCCGAGTACAGGCCCCTGTAGAAACCCAACCTGTAGCCCCGAACTAGACGAGCAGCAGGTCATTGCACAATAACTTCAACACTCATACCGGCCAGTCTTTAAAACCATACTTGCTGGGATCCACGAGTAAACCCTCAAACTCGAGCCGGTCTTCAGTACCCAGTCCTGCTTATGCGTCCCCATCCCCAAGTCCTACACCCCAACCCCCACCCCCTCAATCCGAAAACTACTACCCCACACCCTAAACCCTAAAACCCTAAATCCGAAACTCCCAAAGCCCGTTTTTTCCTACTGGACTCAAGTCTAGCCAGACCACGACCTGCAATCATCTCGACTGTTTCCGACCGCTCCGAAGGCCGGAACCCTAAAGGTTATGTAGGGGCCTTAATAATCAGAATAGGGCTTTGGGGTATCCTATACTATTTCATAATAAGGAACCCCCCCCAAAAAAAAAATAGTATAGGCAATTATTTAGGCCCCTAAATTACTTTCCCCCCTTTTCCCCCCAAACAAAAATTCGTGACGAGCGCGCAAGATCCGGCCTTCCGGCACTTCGACCTCAACCTCTTGTAGCGGCTCCTGAACTGGTTTCTTTGAGGCAAAGTAAAGGAGGGAATCGGTTTAGGGTTTAGGGTTGAGGGGACCAGAAAGAAATCGTTGGCTATTTTTGGTGATCCACTCCCCAAAAAGGGGCGGCGACTCGGCTTGGAAGGTCTATGGGTCTATGGATCATGCTCTGGGGCTCAGTTTACGCTCTCACAACTCGAACAAGCCAGGCGAGGTTCCATAGTCGCAGGTCGGTGTGAACCCTAAACACTACCCATAGGCCCCATAGTAGTTCCTTTTTGGGGGTTACCTTATAGGATTCCATATATGAACCCCAAAAACGAACTACTTTAGGGCCTACGGGTAAACCCTAACCGGGCTCAGAGCTTAGGACTTCAGGTTCGGGTTTAGGGTTTAGGGTTTAGGGTTTAATGTTAGGCTTCGGGATTCAGGCTTCGCGGCTCCAGGGCTCTTGCGAAGAATGGGACACCTGAAACAATCAGCAGCATCACCGCATCTTGAGACCCCCAAAAAGAGCCCGTATGGAGGGTACCGCATCTGCAAGTATCCTTCAGTGCAATACCAAGAGAACCCCCTTAAAGGAACACAATGAGAGATACGCCTTTTTCACCGGGCAAAATGACACCAATGGTCCTGGTTCGGGGCCTGGGCGAAAGCTTGTAATGCTTTATTCAGATTAAGGGTTAGCTGTGTAAGGCTGCGTGCTGCAACGATCGCAGGCCCTGCAATGTTAACGATTGGGGGTTCCTTATAGGCAAGAAGAAGGGGGCCCTGTCTGGGCGCTCAAGGTTCCTTGTCAGTTTCCCGTTTTTGTAGCAAGCTTTCTCGGTAGAAAAAAGGGGCCTTAGTAATTAGAATAAGGTTTGGGGGGCCCAGTATACTATAATCATAATAAGGAACCCCCAAAATAGTATTGGTAACTATTTAGGCCCCTATAGTACCCTAAACCGCCCTAAACCCTTAACCGTGTCGGGAGGATGGCAACCGTCCGAAAAAAACACAACCTGCCCTGATCAGGGACCAGTCCATAGATGCTAGCTGCTAGTCGGTATTCCGAAAACACGGATAATGATACAACAAGGCACAGACCTAAACAAAGACTGACACTCTCCGAAGGTATAATCACAACACTGACAAACTACAATACTGAATTCTGAATAGGTGCCTGGAGCGGGTTTTCAGAAGTGCAGCCGCACTTGCAACTTCCTTGGCCGTCTTGTGAAAGGCCCTCGTTCTCAGATCGTTCTCGGGCAAAATGGCGGGGCCAAGTACGCCGTGGCCCTGGAAGAGTTGCCACTCGATCCGGAACCCTTTTCCAAGAGTTCCCGGGCTTGCTGGAAATCCTGCGATACGCCAAGGCCGTACTGGTACATGCACGCAAGGCTGAGTGCGGCTCCAGAACTGGCCCTGGCGATGCCCATCTCGTACAGTTCTTTGGCCTTGCTGTAGTCCTGGGTTTGAGGATTTTGGGGTTTTGAAACCAGGATTTGCACGTTCAAAACAAACACGTCATTCAAAGTCTTTGGCCTTGCGGAAGTCCTGGACCACCCCGATGCCATCGCGATACATATGTCCAAGGCTTTCGGGGCACAAGATGTCGCCTCTTGCAATGCCCAGCTCGTACAGTTCCCTGGCCTTATGCAGGTCTTGTGTTACACCGTCTCCACGCAGGTACATGGTGCCAAGCCAATTGGCGGCTGAAGCGTCACCCCTTTCAAATGCCCTCTCGTACAAGTCTTTGGCCTTGCGGACATCTTGGTCCACCCCCAAGCCTTCCGCGTACATGTATCCAAGCTGAGATGCAGCTTCAGCAGAACCTCTTAAGATGGCAGTCTCCAAGAATTCTTTGGCCTTGTGTAAATCCTGGGTCACCCCATTGCCATTGAGGTACATGTGTCCAAGGCTTTGGGCGCAATAAGCGTCGCCTCTTGCATTGCCCAGCTCGTAAAGGTCTTTGGCCTTCTGCAAGTCTTGGGCTACACCATACCCAAACTGGTACATGTTACCGAGCCAATTTGCTGCTGAAGAGTCGCCCCTTTCAATGGCCTCCCGATACAGGATTTCTGCCATGCGGGAATCCTGGGTCTCTCCTAAGCCATCCCGATACAGCGTTGCAAGCATGGCAGCGGCAAGGTCGTCGCCCCTTGCGTAACCCTTCTGATATAGATCTCTGGCCTGGTGGTAGTCTTGAACTACACCTGGTAGTCTCAGACAGTGAAGCATCGTAGACTATATGCTTCCTGCAAAATATAGTAAATGCAGAAAGGTCCCTAGCAAATGGACCCCAAGTTAAAGAACCACAAAATTTGGGAAAACCCCACCTCGCCCCTGCTGGTACATGATGCCAAGGCTGGTTGGGGCTCTAGCGTTGCCTCTGGACATGCTCCGCTCGAAAAGGCCCCGTGCCTCTTGCAAGTCGCGAGCCACCCCGAGGCCATCAAAGTACATGACCCCAAGGTTGTTGAGGAACTTAGGGTCATCGGGATCGAGGAGAACCAATGTCTTCGTAGCTGCTTGTGCAAGGTTCTCCTTGACACAGTGACCGAATCGCCACGCGGTGGTTTCCCGAAACTTCTCTGCAGGCACAGGGGACAGCAAGCGTGCCCTTTCGTACATGACGGAAGTCGCCGCAATCATGTCGCCATCTGTCATGCTGGGATGTGTGTAAAGAATGCGCATCTGCAGCCCGTCACGGAAAGCTTGGACAGCAGCTTTCAGCTCGCCTCTGTAGAAGACAGTGTCGAACAGATTTTTGTAAGATCGTCCTTGCTGCTGGTGATAGTTGATCGCGACGATGACTTCTGGGGACCTTGCAGCCCAGGTGCTGGCAAACTGCCGGGATGCGCCCGCCCAGAAGGCTTTGACCTGCATGGCAAGTTCACAGAAATAACTGCGAAGGGGAAGATTGTGGTGCAGAAAAAGAGTTGCTGGATGCGTTGAACGTCATTCCTCGCACATTCGGGGCTTTGCAAAACCCCGAACCCCAACCCTGAAATCACTTATACCTGATACTGAGCGCTGCCAGCCTTCGGCAAGCTGCAGGACTTCAGGGTATTCACACCGGGAGCATTCAGGAGCTCGCCGAGCCGGGTGTCCGGATCCTCCTTTCCGAGCTCACAGCTATTGCCAAACTGCCATGTGGGGGTTTCCGAAAATATAGGGGACCCTAATATAGTACCCTAACTAGTAGATCCTTATTATAAGGACCCCCAAAGAAGGTCCCCTTAGTTTTGGAAACTCCCATGTAGAACCGTGCACCCAAACCCTTTGAGCGTAATAATGAGCGTACCTTTTTCATGCGATTCAGTTTAAACAGGGCATTATAGCACTAATCTCTCGTCCGCTCATTATCTACGCAGCAAATCCTGAACATTACTTTCGTCAGACTATTTCATAATAGGGTGCGATTCTGTAGCTTTCCCGTTCCTCGGTGCTTTAGTCTAAACCCGTCGTTTGGCACGCAACAGACCCTTCAGTCCTACCTTCCTGCGGTTGCTGCCTGTAGCCCCTCTTCAGTTCCTACGGTTCTTGCAGCCCGCCGTCTCTTGCAACATGCGGTTCCAGGGCGATGCCTGCCGACGTTCATAGATTCTCCCCCCAAACAGAACGCCAGGGCTCCTTGTGATAAGTATAATAGTATTATAATATACCCCAAACCCCATTGTAAATATTAAGGCCCCTATATTCTAGTTTGCAAGAGCACCATGGTTCTGTAGTCTTGCCCATCTTAAACTAGGCTTCGGTCGCATTCCGGGCCAAACCTTCCGCGAACATGCATGGTTTTAGGGGGAGCTACAGTAGCTGTAGATAAGTGGGTATAATTGGGTTTCGTGGTAACTTATGTCATTATTGCACAGGGACTGTAAGGGAACAAACTCCTAGCCTTAGCTATTGTTGTTTAGACTCCCATAATGAAGCACTGCCTGAAGCCCGTCCTGGCTTTGCAAGACGCAGCCGCCCTTTTCTCGCAATGGTCGAAGAACGTCTTCACGCTCTTCATCTTGATAGCCACTCCACAGCAAGAGGTGCGTCTTGTCCTCGAGTGTGCCAAAACAAGAATGACAGGCTTCGCTGAAAACGGCCCCCTGCCCTGTGATGAAAAGCGACTGAGACGAGGTGCGCTGCCGCACGTTAGCAAGCTCTGGCTCCAGACCTCGTAGTCTCCATCGTAGACAACGGCTTCTGCCTGCACGGAGCCGGGCGCGGGGAAGTACCCCAGTGGTCCTTCATGGCTACTGATCTACGGGTAGCTACGAGGTCCTAGGTATATCTTCGAGTTTTGATGTTCACCGACCTCGGCGTGGCAGCCTCCAGCAGAGACCGTCGCGCCATTTCGCTGGTCCTAGCTTGCAAGATCCCTCTAGCCCTAGCCTACGGTTCTCTGTTTTTAGGGCGTACACAAATTAAATCATGACTTCGGATTGCAGGGTCCACAGGGTCCATTACCCAGGATTACAGGATTTATAAGCTTTCGTAAAGTTTAAGAGCCTTCTTGGTGACCCAGCGAATTACAGTGAGCGTCCTTTCCGGAAACCCTATAAACCTTAAACCTAAACCCTAAACCCTATTTTTGAAACCGGACTTGATGACTGCCAGCTTTGCCCCTAAACATCCCTAAACCCTAAAACCTAAACCCTAAACCCTAAAACCAAAACCCAAAACCCTGAACCCTGAACAATAAACCCTAAAACCTAACCATCCCTACACGCTAAACCCTGTCCTCTTCGCAGCTCTCCTCAATTCTCTTCTTGAGCATTCGAAGCTCTTCTTCACAACCTCAGAGTCGACTTTGAGGGGGCGCAGGGCTTTTACCCCTAGGCCCCATAGTAGGGTTGGGTTTAGGGTTGAGGGTTTAGGGTTTAGGGTTTCGGGTTTATGGTTTAGGGTTTAGGGCGTACCCATAGGCCCCATAGTAGTTCCTTTTTTTGGATTACCTTATAGGATTCTAAACATGAACCCCAAAAAGGAACTACTAGGCCCCATAGTAGTTCCTTTTTTGGGATTACCTTATAGGATTCGAACTATGAACCCCAAAAAGGAACTACTAGGCCCCATAGTAGTTCATTTTTTGGGATTACCTTATAGGATTCTAGATTCTAAATATGAACCCCAAAAAGGAACTACTATGGGGCCTATGGGTAGGGTTCTGGGTTTAGGGCTCAGGGTTTAGGGCTTTTAGGGCTT